TGTTGGAGACGGGTTTAGCAGAACAGCCCCACAGCAGCTTGGGCCACCCCTCTGAGCGGGTCTGGGGCACTGGGTAGAGAATGAGGTGTCGCCAGAGAAGGGCACCGGCTTGGGCTCTCAGGCAAGAGCAGGGAGTCCCTGGGAGTTTGTGGGGCGCGCCCTGTGAGCGTGAGCCCCACGCTCAGGACTGGATGACTGGGACCCAATGATGAAGGTTCCCCAAAGCGGGACTCGGGACTGTGCCATGCCACGCGGCTGGCACAGGCTCTTGGAGTTCCCTGCTGCACTCACACAGGGCAGCGAAGAACTGCGCCCGTGGGTTTCCGAGACGGCCACTCGTTACAGGGATAGAGAGCCTCCCCTTTCTCCCGAGGAGCGGCTGGTGGATTTGAACGGCTGAGCTTGCGGTTTGCAGTCCCATGTGTAACCTACTGCTCCCCTGGGCCTGTCTGCTGCTTCGCTGAAAGTTGATCCTGGTTTAGAGGGTGTCTAAGACCCACAGTCTTGCAGACCAGTCAGTCTGTGTGTGTGTGTGCGCGTGCATGTGCATGTGCGTGTTTTAACATGTTTTGGATTTTGTTTCACATTTTCCTGCTCAGGACCTTCTGCCGCCGGGCACCATCTAGCGCTTCTGGTCCCAGGGCTGTGGGGGCTGTGGTTCCTGGGCTTTGTCCTCCCGGGGATCTCTGATCATATTTCCTCTTCTCTGCTCCCCGAGAGGAGACCCCCACAGGCCAGGTTCTTCCCGGTCTGCCTTCTCTGATCCCCATCTACCCGACGAGACTTCTCAGCTCAGTGCTGGGAGAGGGGCGGGGGTGCTCATCTCTTCTCGTCTCACGTCTAGGGTGGCCTCACCCAGCCCCGAAGGGCTGCAAGTACCAGCCCTGGGAGCCCCTGGGTGGTGCAGCAGTTCATGGGCTCGGGGACACCCAGGAGGTCAGAGGTCCAAGGTCACCCCAAGGTGACTCAGAAGAAAGGACTGGTGATCTCTTTCCCTCAAATAACCACCATCACTGCAAGCCCCGTGGAGCAGTTTCACTCTGGCACCCAGGGGTGGGGTGGGTGCCGTGCGTCAGAATCAACTCAGTGGGGTCTGGGTTTTACGCCCCAGTAATCGGATCGTTTCAGACACGAGCCCCCCACCCCGGCCTCTCCCCTCTGGTCTCTGTGAACCCTGGTCTCAGGTGCGTCCCTGACTACCTGCCCGATAAGACATCTCCAGTGATGTCCGGAAGAAGACTGTTCACCTGCCCTCACGCTCCAGGGGTCCCTCTGCTCAGCCCGGGTCCGGAGTGGCACTCCCTGCCCCCGCGCCCCATGCCCCAAATCTGGAATTTCCCGGGGTCCTCATTGTCCTCACCCCCGGGTGCAGCCCTGCGAGCCTGCCTGTGCTGTCTCTGTGGTTTCCATCCTGTTCATGGAGACCAGGCCACGCCGGCCGCCCGGGCTGGGAGTGCGCTCCGAGCCGGGGCGAGGACACCCACTGATGGACACGAGTCACAGGGTGGCTGGCCCTGCCCTTTGCCTCTCCGT